TCGAACACGCTCGTTACTCACGCGGTGTTCCCACCAGATGTGAGCCAAACTGCGAAAGCACCGATGGTCAAACGTAACTAGCCTCTTCATGTCCGCCGATCTTAGGGGCCAGGTTTCGCAACCGTACAGTAAGGTCGAACGTACCGCTGCATTGTACACTCTACCCTTCAGGGCGAGAGTAATGTCGCGCCGCCGCCATACGTGGCGAAGGTTAGCAAAAGCACTTCGAGCTTTTGCTATACGGTTCGTGATCTCGTCTTCGATCCCAAGGGCGCTGATACAACTTCCCAGGTAGCTGAATTTCCGAACGACTTCTAGCTGATCCCCACCAAGGGTCAGCAAAGGAGGCGATCCCTGGCAATCATGGAGGAACGCTTTGCATTTCGATGGTGCAAAGCAAAGCCCGAAGCGGCTGACAGCCAGTGCTAATCTGTCCAGCACGGCTTGGCACGTCTGGGAGCTGTCACAGATGAGGGTAATGTCGTCTGCATACTCCAAGTCAAGAAGTCGTTCACCTGAAAACAGATCTACACATTCCAAGTCATGTCCTGTAAATGCAATCTCAATGACTTCGTCAATAGCGAAGTTGAAGAGGAAAGGTGACAGCAGGCATCCTTGTCTCACCCCGCTGGAGATACTGAAGGGCGGCAACAGCTTGCCGTAAGCACTCACTCTGCAAGTGCTACGCGCGTATAATGCTCGGATAATATTTACATATTTCTCCGGCACACCTTTTTTGAGTAGACAATTCCAAAGGGCACATCGATCAACCGCATCGAAGACACCTTTGATGTCGAGGAACACAAAAACGGTAGGCCTCCTATATGTGTGATAGTGCTCCGACAACTGACGCAAGGTGAAGATGTGGTCGGTGCAGCCACGACCCTGACGAAATCCGGCTTGTTCCACACGAATCTGGCTTTCATGAGCGCAAGTCAGTCTGTGGAGAATTATGGAGCCGAGTAAATTGGAGGCGATGGAGATCCAACGGATTCCTCTGTGGTTGCCGCATTCCGAACGTGAGCCTCCTTTGAAGATGGGAACAATAACGGAGCGGTTCCAGTCGGTTAGGACAGTCTCCCGCTCCCACAGTTTCACTAGTAATTCATGTAAAGCATCAACAAGAGTAGAGCCTCCGAATTTGAAGAGGGCTGGAGGAAGATCATCTAGTCCCGCGGCTTTGTTCAACTTCAACAGTCCGATCTCACGTGCGACTTCTGAGCGAGAGGGTGGATCCAAAGGGACAGCACACGGAGCAGGGCGAAAACTGACCGGCAAAGAATCGAACAATTCTAGCCGATTAAAGTGCTTTTCAAAATGCTCAGCCTAACGCACAAAACGTTTCGACAAATTGTGGATAGGCTGTCCACTCTCATCACGTATTGTTTCACTAACACCAGGTCTCCTGTTGCCCGTTTCCCGTATCAGACGAAATAATTTAGAATGGTTGCCAAGGGCAGCGGCCACTTCCATCTCTGACGAACGATGAGACTACCAAGATTTGCGGTCTCGCTTCAGGCTGGCACGGAGTTTTGCCCGGAGCCCTTTGCGAGTTTCATTGTGTTCGCTTCCAGCCGGGATATGCCGGCGAGCGTCGATAAGTTCCAGAGACTGCGAGGAGACCCAATATCCATATTGGCTATTAGACATAACACATGAGGATTTGCCTGCTGCTAGTAAGGTCTGGTGAACATGTGACCAGTGACCATCAATTGTCTCCAGT